CCGAGCGAGCAGCCTTTGTCAGGTTACACGAACGTTGGCATGAACGGAGACGCACCAAGTGAAACTCAAGCGAAACTGATCACAGCTGCTAGGCAGCTCCACCCCACTCCCCCATCAGTTCCTGGTGACCCAGTGGCCCACGTGTGTGCCTGTGTTCAGTAACGTCCACTAACAATTGGAGGGATGGGCTGCCTGCATTCGCTTCCTTAAACGTGGGGACACCAAAGCCGTGCCAGTTTCTTTCTTTCTTTTTTTTTTTAGTTGTCAATGAACCTTTATTTTATTTATTTATATGCGGTGCTGAGAATGGAACCCAGCACCTAGCACATGCTAGGCAGGTGCTCTACCACTGAGCCACCACGCCAGCCCCAGCAGTGCTAGTTTTTACAGTTATCGTGAATTTGCCTTTGCCAGAGCTCTCTCTTGTCTCCATCCAGTGGTGAGTCCCTGTCCAGTGTCCTTCAGATCAACCCAAGGTGTGAAATTTGCCAGATTTTACAATCTTTCTGGGGCCTCTTTGCGTGTGAAATGACGTGCACATGGCGCCATCTGGTGGCCAGTACGTGGAAACCCAACGGAAACCTCCAATTCTGGAGCAGGCAGAGCCCAGAGCTGGGGGGAAGATGAGGGTGGGTTACTCCCACCTCCAGGGCTGGAACCATTGCACCTATGAATGCCTGTTTAGAGAAGAGGGCGTGGCGTACTAAAAGTTCAACACCTGTTAAGCAACAGGACAGATCCCTTTAACTATCCCTCAGTTCTGACACAGCCAGGGGTCACCAGGTCACATTTTGGGCTATCCTAGAATCTCTTTTTCAAATAAGTAATACATTTCCATACAGACTCAGGCAGGGAAGTGTCCACCATCTCTGTGGTATGAGGGTTGTGCCTGGGGGTCCTTGTCAAGAGCCTGGGCTTTGGCTCTACCTACAGCCGTGCCCTGCTCAAGCCAATCCTGCTGGGCTGGGTCCAAACCAGGAGGAGAAGGACCCTGCACTACTGGCAGGGGTTTCCTGGCCATCTGCAGGAGCAGCAAGAGGTCAGACGGCTGCCGGGCCCTGCAGACCAGTCAGCATGGCCAGGGGGACAGCATCAAACACATCATTCCTACTCTCTGGTTTTAGGAATGGGTGGCTTCAAACATGGTGGGTGCCCTGTGCTCTCCTCACACTTAGGAAAGCACAGGGGGGAGATGCGGTGACGTGGCCTGAGTCATGGTTCTGGGTTGATGTCGCCCGCCTGGGTTCTGTAGGCAGGTTCCACTCAGCATGGCCATGGCTGTTAGTAAAACGTATGAACGTCGGATTCCCTTCCCATGTCTGGTTAGAGGCGAGGAGAGCCCATGGCTTTGAGAATGGCCACTCAGAGGTGCTCACCTGGGGTTGAGAGTGCTGTGTGATTGTCCCTGACTTCCGCTCCCTGGGTCTTCCCCTGGGCCACTTGTCCCTCCCCCTTTGCACACCCACCTTCCGGCTCTTGTTACTTTTTCTCAGAGATCCTATGGGTGTCTCTGGAATTTGTCATCCTTCAGAACCCCAAAGAGCCTTCCAAAGCCAGGTCCTGGCTCTCCCTCGTACCCGTTGTGTGGCCACGGTCTCCCAACCGAGCCCTGCTCTTTCCCTCTGTGATGTCCTCTTGTAGAGGACCCTTCCCTACCTGCCTGCTGTGACAGCTGGTGGTATCCTGTCCTCAGGGACCATCCTCCTCCCTGTCTGATCTGCTCTACAATCCCTGCCAAGTTGAGCACAGCCCTCTTGTGCCCCCACAGCAGATGCTGAGGGATGACTACAGCAGATGCAGAGGAGTGGCGAGAGAGGGCTCTTTACAGAGGTGAGCAAGCTAACAAAAGGCCACAGCAGACTCTCATTTGGCATGCTGATGTCCTGGAAAGGTGAGGACATTTGGACACAGACACACAGAGCGCTCAGGTAGGGACACAGGGAGAATTTGCAAGCTGAAAAGAGGCCTCGAGAGGAACCAACCCTGCTGACACCTTGACCTTAGACTTCAAGGTCTCCACATGATCCTTTTTTTTTCCCCCTTGTATCAGAGATTGAACCCAGGGGCACTTAACCACTGAGCTATATCCCCAGCCCTTTTCTATTTCATTGAGACAGGGCCTTGCTAAGTTGTGGATGCTGGCTTTGAACTCATGATCCTCCTGCCTCAGCCTCCTGAGCTGCTGGGATTACAGGTATGCACCAGACCACAAGGCCTTTGGACTGGAGCTGTGACATCCGTTCCTCCCTGGGTCTGCAGCCCAACTGCCTGCCCTGCCAACCTCACACCTGGCACTTCCACAGTCACCTGAGCCAGTTTCCTAGACATGTATCTATAGACATTCTATTCTCTATAACATATCTATTCTCCTCTATAAACATGTATCTCATTTTGTTCTGTTTGCTGGAGAATGTAATAGGTACTCCAAATTAAAACCTGTAATTGCTCCTTTTTAATGCAAAATACAGTGCCAAAGCTTAGGCTGGCACTCCCAAAGTCCTCCACATCCCAGTTGTAGTCTACACTATTTTCTTAACTGCTCTTTAATGAGCACATTAGCAATAGCATTTATCGAAAACCAACTAATATCTAGCAAACTTTTTCCCTGTGCTTTAAAATGAATTAAATGGGGATGGGGTTGTGGCTCAGCAGTAGAGTGCTCGCCTAGCTCTGGGTTCGATCCTCAGCACCACATAAAAATAAATAAACAAAGGTATGTGTCCAACTATAACTAAGAAAAAAAAATCAAAAAGAAAAAGGATTTAAACAGATTAGAGGGTTAGAAGCAGGCTGGATTCAAATCCAGCACTTTATCTGACCTCCCTGAGATGGAGTTTCTTCATCTGTGAAATAAGAAGAATTCACTAATCATTCTACAAGTGGTTATGGAACGACCCTTAGGACACCCAGGGCTCGTGATGTTGCCTATGAGCACTCTCAAGACCAGGGCTCCTCTACATTGAAAGCAACGACCTAAACCAGGCCTGTGGGCTTATCAGGTAGTATCAGCAGGGACAGCTCAGCAGGGTCCTCCTGAAATCCTGGCCCCCAAACTACATCTGCCTGAAATGAACTGGAACAGGCTGTGAGCACCTTGTGCCCCAGGACATAAAGAAAATAACAGGACAATTACCCAGCAACTACTAGAGGCTGACCAGGGGTGTGAGGCCAAGGAAGCACATGATTAACAGATGAACTTGATTGGAGAGACTTGAGGGTAAATGTGAACTAAGAAGCAAGGAGCCAGATGTGATGGCGTGCACCTGTGGTCTCAGCTGACTAGCCAGGTTGAAGCAGGAGGATCACTTGAGCACAGAGCTCAAGGCCAACCTGGGCAACATAGCAAGACCAGGAAAGAAGAACCACATTGCACCGTGTCATCCCAGACCTAGTGTGCATGGCCAAGTCAGAGCCTGCTGAGGGAGGGTGACACAAAGGCCTCACACCATGGAGGAAACAGGCTCCACCACGGCAGACTAGCAGATAGCCCAACAAACAAGCAGATACAGCAAAATGGGACCTGGAGGGGGCGGTGAGGGACACCAGTGTGCACAGCTGCTGCAACACAGCACCTTAAATATCCAGAGTCCAAAAGCACGAAACACAAAGAAACAGGGAAACATGACCCATGCACCAGAGAAACAGAAATGGCCTAAGAAGGGACCCAAGTTTCAGGCTTCACAAAGCCTTTGAGACTGCTATTGTAAATGTGTTCAGTGAATGAAAGGGAAATGTTTTTAAAGAGGCAAAGGGAGGCAGATGTTGCCACCTCATCAAATAACGAACATCAACAGAGAGGTAAACATTATGGAAAATGAAGTCATGGAGTGGAAAACAGACTAGTCAAAATGAACATCTGACCACAGGGCTGGACAGTAAATTTGAACTAAAGAAGCTTCAGAGACCTGGATGGACGGCTTGTGTGCCCAGGAATTCAAAGCCAGTCTGGGCAATGTAGTGAGACCTGTCTCCAGGGGAAAGAAAGGGTATTTGAAGAAAGATCAATAAAGATTATGGGAAAAGAATGAATAAACGAACAGGAAGACAGTTCCCGAGAAATGCTGGGCCTAAACGTGAGAGAGAAAACGTAGCTGGGAAAAATATTTGAAGAAATAATGGCTTCAAATTTTCCTGCAGAGTGGCTTTGAATGGAGCTCCCAGCTTCCTCCACTGGCCCTACCCTGGGGCGGATGAGCCCCTGAAAGGTTGCCCCTTGACTGAAGCACAATTTAAAATGAAATACCAGGGGCTGGGGCTGTAGCTCAGTGGTAGAGCACTTGCCTTGAACGTGTGAGGCCCTGGGTTCGATCCCCAGCACCACATAAAAAAAATGAATAAATAAATAAAAATGAAGATATTTTAAAAATAAATAAATAAATAAAAATAAAATACCAAGCAATGTCTATAATTTAGTTTTTCATTGTATGAAAAGACTTTAATATCTACTGTCTGTCTTCTACATGACACAATCCAGGGACAGAAGGGATGAGAAACTTAGGCAAATCCATGAGCTCCTGCTGAGCCATTCCTGACCCTGTAACCCGGTGGTTGATTTTATGACTATAAGATCATCCGTGTAAGCACCAGGTGGAGTGAGGACCCAGGGCTCACATTCCAGCACCACCATCCCTCCTGCGTTGGCAGGGGTTAGGGTGCTTGGGCTGGGATGACCCCGGGCTAACCAAGAAACGTGAAGCCCGGTGACATGAATGTTTGTAACAGGTGATGTCTGTGAGCACAGTGGGCACGTGTGACTGGTGTTTTCAACACTCCACTGGAGAACGAAAAGGTGGCTGCTCCTGGACACCCATCCACAGCTGCTGAAGAGGGCAGAGGCCGCCTCAGACGACCGTCCACAGGCTAGCCTCACTTGAGCACCAGCACGTTCCAGCTGTGATTCTGTCACAGAGTCTCCAGGCCACAGCTTCGAGGACAGCAGCTGGATACACACTAAAGGTGCAGGCGAGGTCTTGGGGGCAAATGCCAGAACAGCAGTGGCACTAGGTCAGAAACTTCCTCTCCAGGGCACAGACGGCCGATGGGCGAGCCGCACTCTGCAAACCGCACAGGGGCACTATGCCCTCCCTGGTTGGCCCTTCCACACCGGCGTCCAGCAAGGACGGTGCCTGGAACCTAGTTTTGTCCTGGGCACCAAGGCGGCAGGTGGGGCCTGGTCCTGTGTGGCCACCATCAACCACCCACGCAGGAAGGGACCCTGCCCTCGGTGGGACAGCCTGTGGCACACTGGATGGGCTTCTTGAGGAAGCAGGGGGCGGCCAAGGCATGACCATGACAGCTGGCTGCTGCTCAGGAGGGACCTCGCTTTGTGAGTCGCAAGCAGGGCCAGGGGAGGCCGGAGGTGGCAGTTCAGAGGCCCCAGGAGCACCTGCCGGTGAGGAGAGCCAAGACACAGGCGATTAGAAAGACGGAGACAGCCACGCTCAAAGAGATCATGACCATTCACCTGAACACCCCCCGCCCGGAGCTTCAGCACAACCAAGAGCAGACAGCAGCACGCAGACCCTCCGTGCAGACCCTCCACGATCACGCTCCACACGTCAGGATGCAATGCCTTTTGGGGAGAAAGTACCCCCAAATTAGGAAGAGCACCAACGCATGGAAATCCTGCATGTAAAGGAGCAGAGGAACCATGAGGTGCTCTAGCCAGCGGCCACTGCCACAGCGTTTCTGAACAGGGTGGATTTCAAAATGCAGGAAACTGGAATAAACGTGGGACGTTCAGAAACGATGGGTGACATCGTTAAACTTCAGTTTTAGGTTGGGATTTGGAAAAACTGACAAGAGTAGGAAGGTGGTCAGGTCCCTCTTCTCTTGTTGGTACTGAAGCACCAGGTGACGGGCTTCCAGCAAGACCAAGAAGGATGGCTTCTCATAGGGTCACTGTGCTGGGATCCTGACTTGTGCATCCATTAAGACCAGCACCCACTGACTTGCAGACCAATTCATGGCTCAGTAGGAGCTCATGGATGCCAATGAACAATAATCATTCCCATTTGACTGAAGGGAAGCAGACCCAGGATGGTCAGGTGACTTGCCCACTGTCACACAGCAAGCTTGAGCCCAGTTTCCGCACTAACTGACACTACGGGGTGTTGAAGGCTTCCAAACGAGGACGTGGGCCACGGTTTTCCCAGGATCACAGCTGCCACATGCAGACGCTTAACTGAACCTTGAGCCTCAGTCCTGTGCCTCTAAGTTACCTGCTCTTCCCAAGTAACCAGTGTCCTCAAAGGTCAGTACCAGAGAGGACCACCCCCAGGGGTCTCAGAGGGGACCGCCCCTCTGCTCAAACCCACACCATCTGATCATGTGAGCACTAGTCGAGTTTCACAGGTGGACAGGACAGGGGGCAGGCACAGTGCAGCAGGGGACCCAGGGCTGGATCCCTGGTGGCTACAGGGACCCAGGCACCACTGCTTTCCCACGAGTTCTGACCCCTGCCTCTGTGCTGACCCCATGTCCACAGAGTCCCCTCAAGGTGAAGCCACTTGGGTCAGAGGCTTTGTCATCTGCAAGTGCCACTGCGATGTCAGAGACACCTCTGTACCTTGTTCAGTGGACCAGGGAAACCTGTGGAAATCAACTTTCCTTCCGCAGCATCCACACCTGGGCGCAGGCCTCACGGCAGCCTGTGGTGCACTGTGTGCCACTGGGTACCCTGCTGTACGGCAGAACGTCCCCTAAAATCCACACACTGCATCCCCGACTCTGAGGGTGGACAGGGTCTCTACAGAGATGATGAAGTCACAACAAGGCCACCAGGGTGGGCCCCATCCCATGTGATTAGTGTCCTGGGGGGGGGGAAGAAGGTAGGACAAGGACTCCTGGGTGGTGGCAGCCGCATGGGAGCACTGGGCGAAGTCAACGGATGCAGCAGGAGGCAGCTATGCAGGACCAACCCAGCCACTGCGGGCACACGACCTCCTGGGTGTGCTTGCGGCCTGCGCCTCATCACCCAGCCCTGGCACATGGAGGTGCCCGCCGCCCTCCCCGCAGCAGGAACAGAGAAGGGCAGCCCCGACGCAGGACGCAGCAGCTGCCACCAGCTCTGGTCCCGCTGCGTCCCCGGCTGTCATCTGCACTAACGCCAGCGGCTCGCCTTCCCTGCCTACGTTTTGTCCTCGGTCACTGAATTTAAGGACACCTCCCCAGAACCCAAACTCTCGTTAGAGTAAATCAAATGAAAGAGAAGGACAAATGCAGAGGTCCACGTAAAAGCAGTCAATTACTAAACGCAATCTCCAGGGGAAAAGCAGAGCAGACAGAGCCACCGCTCCATGGAGCTTTGCGCTGGTCCCCAACTAAGGCAACCTACTTGGGGTCGGAGAAGCTCTCTCCCCAGATGCAGGTCGTCCGCTATGCTGTGCTCTGTCTTCTGGGGAACGAGGCGCGTCCCCACATGCCTGCTCCCAGAGAGAAGGAGGAGCGCCATGCAGCCCAGTGTGACCAGCCTCAGTCCTTGGCACAGGGCTGGGCTCACAGCTGCAGCCCAGAGTGGAGGGACAGAAATCCAGAGCAGGCACCTCGGGGTCCCCAGGGACACGCGTGCTGCCCTTGGGTGGCTCACGGCCGTCTGTCTGTAGCCAGCACCTGGTGGCCAGAGAGGGTGTGGAGGGAGGGCCGGGAGCGCCTGGCAGCGAGGCGGAGGGGCTCGGCAGCCTCGGGGGTGGGCTGGCACTCGTGCGGGACCTGGTGGCCCACTGCAGGGGCCCCTCTCGCTTCTTCTTCTCCTCCCTGGGCAGCGGTTCTTCAGCAGCCTGCGCTCTGCCAAGGTCCCTGACATCCAGCCCCAAAGCCACCGAGGCCAGCAACGCCGTGCACCTGTACAAGGCCGTGTCTGTTTTCCTTCTCTGGGGTGGTCCCTGCAGGCTGGCCACAGGCATCACCCGAGAGGAGCCCGTGGCAGGGCTGGCCGGGGGCCCCTCCTCTTGGCTCTCAGCCTCCGCCAGCTTCTCTTTCTGACCATCTTTCCAAAGAGGCAGGTCAACGCAGGCCTGTCCGGGCACCTTCACTGGCTTTGGTCTTCTGCGTTCGGACCCGCCAGGGGAAGGGGCTGGCTCCTCACAGGACCCTAAACAAAAGCACAAACACTGACAATGTGGCACCGTCTTGCAGCAGAGATCAGTGAAACTGTGACGTAAAGCAGAGCTCAAACCTCCCGGTAAACATCCTAACCCAAGGCACACAGAGTCCTTCCGGAGGGCCGGGACCCATCTAGCACTCTAAGGACAGACTCCAGGTCCTGCAGCTCAGCTCCCCAGAGATGGGCCAGAAGGACAGCCCCTGCTATTCCCTACCCTCTAGAAAGCCTCCCTCCCCAGCATCGTGACAGACACCTCCTGGAAAGAAAGTCTTGGAGCTACAAAACGCACACACGTGCACACGCAGAATACTCCTGCTTCCTCATGCCCCGTATAAACACGAAGACCCACATCTACAATATGTCTTGTGGGCGAGACCATTGCACGCACAGACGTTTCAATATTCACAGCAGCTCAGTTCACAAGAGCCAAGCCATGGAACCAACCTGGGTGCTCTACAACAGATGAATGGATAAAGAAAATGTGACACTCATACACACTGGAATATTATTCAGCCATAAAGAATGAAATTATGGCATCAGCCCGTAAACAGATAGTACCGGAGACTATCATGCTTAGTGAAATAAGCTAGGCCCCTACACCAAAGGCAGACTGTTCTCTGATATGTGGATGCCAACTCACAACAAGGGAGGGGAAGATGAGAAGTTCATTGGACTAGACAAAGGGAATGATGGGAAGGGAGAGGGGATGGGAACAGAAAAGAGAACATGGATCGCACATCTTTGGTCTCCTTATGTATGAACACACAACCAATGTAACCCCACAACATACACAACCACAACAACAGGACCATACTTGGAACAAGTTACACCTATTCTATGTGTGCATAATATGTCAAAATATATCCTACGGTCAGGTGTATCTACAAATAAAAAATAAAAATAATAATAATAATAAAGAAGAGCGTCACATAGAGGCCAGTGGTTCTCAATGTGTCCCCTGGACCCCAGCAGCCCCTAGGAATTGAGGACAAGCAAATTCCTGGCCCATCCCAGACCAGTGAAGCAGAGCCCTGGGGGTGGAACCAGCAGTCTGTGCTGAGATAGGCCCAAGTTAAAGCTTGGGGCCACAGCAGTAGGGGATGACACCCCCAAAGGCCGGGGAGCCTAGAGATCCCTAGAACTTACACTAGCTGCAGAGGAGGCTAGAACTCCCACCACACATGTGCTCACCAGTGGCTGATCCAATGGAAAACCCTGCCATCGGGCTCCTGAAGCCTCCGTGACACAGCCTCTAGCTTCTCCAGCACCTCCTCCTCCGGCACCTGCAGTGTGCTTTATAAGCTGGACGACCCGGGACGTGGGTGTCCTCCTCTCCTCCACTGGAGGCCCTGCCTCCAGCACAGCTTCCCTCGCCCCGCCTGGATGCAGAACCCTCCAGGAAGAGAAACGGGCATGGGAAATTGAGCCCACAAATCACCCAGAAGACACCAGAGAAACACTGTTCATGTCTCCATCACACTCAGAACCTTGAGCCTCCTGACGCTGTCAAGTGCGGAAGCCAAACTCTTCTCTGCTAACTAGTGCCCTTGAGGCTTTTCAATGATTCCCGTCTCTTCAGCCTCGTGTCAGCTCTTCCTCTCAACAGAACTGTCAGATCGATGTGTTCATTTTGCTACCTCCTATCCTAAATAAATTGGGTCTATGTAGTATAAAGCGTGTCAGCGAATTTTCCGGTAAAGATTAGGAATTATAAATTCCCCAAATTCCAACTGGAGCCTACTGACTTCGCCATAAGGACTGGGTAGGAAAAGCCCCCCATGGGGTCGAAACCCAAGCTAACCACTCCCAGCAATACCATTACCTGGCTGGTCCACAAATAACGAAGCCAACGGCGTGGATTTCTGACTTTTTATTAAGTGAAACGACCAAGGGCTGTTTCCATCCGAGAGAGGCCTGATCCTGCAAGAGACAGACTGTGTGTCACATAACAGGACCGCAGGACACACCAGGTTTGGGTACCTATGCTTCAGCCAAAGCTTCAAAGGTGCAGAGGAAGTGCATTTCACCCTTGAGCTTTGAACAAAAGCTAACTAAGCACACGGACCTTAAGACAAGACAGAAACATGTCAGGAACTTTTAGCCAGTGAACTGAGTCTTCACTTAATAAAGCCAGCGGCTCTCATGCTGGCTGCTTTCTGGAAGCCGAGTCCAGCCAACAGCCTGGGCTGGCCCGGCCGCAGCCCTCAGAGCGTACCCCAAACCCCCACACACCTACCTCTCTCTGATATCGGCTCTTTCTTGCATTTGAACTGAGTTTGGTCCCCACGTACAACCCTTTCTCTTGAAATTCCTTCCAATATCTCCAAATTCTCCTTGCTGAAAGGCTGCGTTCCTCCCCCACGTTTTATTGCTCTCCTCTGAAGTCACTAAACAAAGAGCATCATCATTAGCGACGATGGCTTAAAGCCACATGCACAACCCGTCAGCCACGAGACCTCCTGACTCAAAATGCGAAAACAAGGAAGGGCAGATACATCTTATCCAGACCAATGGAAATCCACTTTTCTAATCAGAAAAACAGCAAGGCAAGTGGGCAGAATTAATGGAAAATCTGATGGAAATTAACAGCAGAGATTGGATTTATCCATCTGATGCTCTGAGACAGCGAGGTGTGCATTTTAACTTCTGAAGCAGGAACCAGACTGAACATTTAACTTAAAATAAACTCAGTACCCTAATGTTGGGAAAAAAAAATCTAAGTTTTAAGCTTGAAACACAAACACATGCTTTAAAATTGTAGCTTAACCTGATTTTTCAGGAGCAATAGGGTTGGCTACAGGTGCCCTGGATAATCTGGAAATACTCAAGGTCCCTGTCCTGCCTTTACTCTCGCCCCGCAGGTCTGAGCAGGCTGGTGCCCCTACTTTGCTGATCTGCTTCCTCCTGGGCCCCTGCCTTCGGGGGATTTGGAAACCACTGGGGAAATGATCAGCCCCAGGGAGAAAAGCAGCCCTGAAACACCAGGCATGTCCAGCAGCCGAGCAGGAAGGGCACCTGCAGGAAGTCCTGGGCCGTGGAGAGAGGGACGGACGCCACGACCCCACGCTCACACACAGCATCACACACCACACACGCGTGTACACGCTGTGGGGGGTGAAAATAGCAAGCTCCTGCTGGGGCTCGCCTCTGGGGGAGGCTGCCCGCAGCACAGGGCCGGGCCGCTTCCTGGGGGGGGCGTTTAAAAACCAGAGGCATTGGGTGTGACGATTTGTGGCTTCTATGTTTCCATTCTTTTCCAAATTTTAAAACATGTGCACATACACATGTGCTGATGCACACGCACACACCTGTCTAACGCTCTGGAACAGGCGCTCACTGCTCTCAGGTGGAGTCTTCACAGAACAGGGGAGGAAGGACTGGCTGCGGCAGTCAGGAGGCCAGACCCCAGTTTATCTCAACAACACAACTGCAGAGAGCCTGACAGTCCTTGGTTTCTTGTCCTCCTCCTCCTCCCATCCCCCTCTCCTTCCTCTCTTGATGCACTCCTGTTTTTTCCCTGTCTAAACATTTTCTGAGCTGGGCATGGTGTAATCCCAGTGGCTAGGGCTCGGGAGGCTGAGGCAAGAGGATTGTTGACTTCAACGCCAGCCTCAGCAACTTGGTGAGGCCCTAGGCAACTTAGCAAGATCCTCTCTGTAAATGAAACATACAAAAAGGGCTGGAGATGTGGCTCAGAGGCTAAGGGCCCCTGGGTCCAATTCCCAGTCCCCCTAAAATAAGCCTTTATTGAGCTCTGTGGTCTGAATAGAGGCTTGCTTCGACACTACCTACTTAGGTCAGGTCCTGCCTGCACCTCAGCTGGGGATGGCACCGGCACCCACCCAGGGACTGGGCTAAGCATTAAGTGGGTTAACTCAGCACGGAGCCCCTAGAATATAGCTTAAATACAGCAGGTGCCGGGGGACACGGGTTGCTACTGCCATCAGACAGGCCCCCAGGTCTCTGCTATTGGAGGTTTGGGTGTGGTATCTCTGCCTCAGTCAGCAGAGCTACCTAGGTTTCTGTTTATCCTGCAGGTTGATGAGCGAGGCGGGGAGTCAAGGGCGCTCCTGGCATCTCCAGCTTACAGCCACTCCTTGGAAAGACTCAGGCTTAAAGTTTACCATCCCTCCTGATACTGTCACCGGGACACAGGCCAAGGGTGGACAGGGCAGCAGGCACCACAGTCAGGAAGCTCTGACTGTCCGACAGGGGGCAGGTGCATTCTGTCCTGGCTTTGAGCCTTCGACCTGAGTCTGCACCCTGAAAGCTGATATCTCCAGAATGAGCGAATCTTAGTGTTTCTCATTCTCAAAGTGAAGCAGGCCCTAACATGGTCTCACATGGCAATGCCAGTCACCAGGGGAGCCAGCGGGGGTGACAGTGAGGAAGGAGACATTCTGCACAATCACTGGTGCAGCTTGCCAGCGACCATTCTCTGCACCGTGCCGGAAAACTGCCTTTGTGCCCATGTCGAGCCTACACTGAGGCCCTTTCCCTGGGTGTCCCTTAAGACGCGTCTGGGTCGGAGCTCTCTCTTGCTGGCATGGTGATCTGACCCCATGCCCCTGCTACTTCCCAATGTAACACCTTTCCTTCTGCTTCAGACTCCTGCTGGCAAAATAAGTGCTTAGTGGCTCTTGCACAACGAATGTTTCTCACTCAAGTCCACCCACGTGTCCAGGGAAACAGAGCCAGAGGACATCGTTGACCCTCTGCAGGCAGAGGCAGCCCAGGCCCCTCGGCCGGGTGTGCCTATCCGTACCCCAAACACCTACCAGAGGCCGGATTTCCACAGTGAACACAGGCCAAGGCTGGGAAAGGCAGTCTCCAGACAGAGGAGCAGGGCAAGCCAGGAAGAGCCCCGGGGGTGGTGACAGGGCAGCAGGAAGCAAGATGGGAGGGCAATGCTCGGCACACATGGAGCCTCTGCGCACCAGGGATTCCCAGGCCACCGTCACCCTCAGCTCACAGAACAGCATCGCAGGGCTGAGGAGTTAAGGGAACTCGATCCACGTCTCAGGGGCAGGGCCAAGCCTGGGGTCCAGCCCCTGAGAGTCTGTGCCAAAGTCCACCCACGCCCTACTGCCCTCCATGCCAAACACTGTGAGAACACAGGACCTCTGGGGAGCCGGGCTGGGGCAGGGACATAGGCAACAAGAGCGGCTGTGCAGCAGCCGAGGCTGGACGAAGATGGCCATGCTGAGCTGGGAGGACCTTGGCCCATGTCCCCCACTAGAGTCGGTCCTGCTAGGAATCCTGGGATCAGAACGGCTCGTCGCTAAGACTGAGCACTGGGGGTGCCCACTCTGAGTTGGCCTTGTGCCCACTGTACAGGAAGGAAGTCGTTTGAAATCCCTAAAGTATCTCCTTCGTCCAGGACAAATTTTGGGTGCTGTCAGGCTGCCCAGTGCCACTTCCCCATGTCCGAGAGTGGGCGCTCCCAAGGGTGGAGGAGGAGGAGAGGGCAGAGGGCAGAGGAGGAGGGCCAATGACCTTCTCCTTCCTACAGTTAAGCCCTGACTGCCCAGGCCCAGGCAAGGTATAAAACACAGCTTTAAAGAAAGATCCTTATCAAAAAAAAAGAAGCCTTCTCAGAAGAACAAACCATTTACAGAAAAACGATGGCACTGTGAGGAGACAGTCCAGGAGCTTACCAAGAAATTAAAATCCCTGCCGCTCACCAGGGTTTTCATTAATAAAAAGGAAAAAAAAAAATGGAGTTCAGAGCTGGAAATTTTCTTATGGACTTTTTTTCTCCCCAAATAAGGAGGATAAGTCAAGAGGACGGAGCTTAGTGGACAAAGGAGAGAAGCTGTGAATGGATGAGCTGAGTGGTAACGGCCTTAGTCCACTGACACTCTCATCACCCACTCTGTCCTCACCAAGTCTGCTCGTGGGGTCTGTGAGGACTTGCCTTCGGGAAAAAATAAATCAATGATCTTCTTCATCCCACTCCACCAACTGCGACCCAGGGTCTAAACGCAACTCTCAGCGCACAAAGCTCGTGCAGACCCGAGCTCCTCCAGGGAACGCTGTCTCTAAAACCACAACCCGGGCAGTACTGTGAAGCATTCGGTTGGCCAAACCTAAAGTAGACTAAATTTCCCTTAAAAAACAAGCGAAAGAGGCTGACGCTGTAGTTCAGTGGCAGAATGCTTGCCTAGCACGTGTGAGGCACTGCATAAAATAATAATAATAAAATAAACAAATAAAACAAAGGCATGACAGTTTACAACTATGAAATATCCAAAAACTTAGCAATGTATGGCTTAACAAGCTGGTGTTAATTTTGCACGTGGACATTAACAAAATGTCTCAAGAGCAAGGGCTTCACCTTCCACTTGAGCCTGCCCACGTCACACTGCACAGAATCCACAGGTCACCTGTGGTCGTGAGCAGAAGGAAACTGGCCTTAGGAGCCTGAGGCCTTAGCGTGTTTTCCAGATAGTTGCTGCACCTGTTCACGTCAGCAGCCCGCGGCCTGCTGTAAAAACACGTCTGCTTGGTCTGAATCCAAGGCAAGCAAAGGACAGGGTGAAGAGAGGAGCGACAGGAGGGGCGCTCACGCTGGATGGCCCGCAGCCGGGGCAGCATGGCGGGGCTGCTGGGCGGGCTGCGGCTCCTGCTGTCCGGACTCCTGCGCTTGTCCAGGCTGGGTGAGGCCTGCACGGTTATCTTGTGCTGGAAATCTGTTGGATACAAATCAAAGAACCAAGATTTCACAATGTTACGTTATTTTCATCCACACGTCCTCTGTGCACAGCAATAAAAGCACACACTGCTGTAAGCAAGCACCGAGCAAGGCTATTTCAGAGTCTGTCTCTCATTTTGGTTTATCTGTCCTCAACTTGGGTTCCAGAGAATGACTGACAGGTTCTGTGTCAGGTACAATGACACGCAGGGAAATGCTCCTGGGTCATTACACAGCTCTTGATCCACTGGCAAGTGTCACCTGCGTGCAGTTGAAGACGGTTAAACACAAAGGTGAAGCAGGAGGCCAGGCCCATCACTGGCAAACCATGCACCGAGAGCAGGGAGGACTGCTCGGAGCCCGTCCCCTCACCCCCTGAAGGGCACCAAGCACTTCACAGGACCCTGTGGTGAGTGAGACAGAGGCGCACTCTACAAACACTCTCCAGGCTGTCCTCGCCTGGCTGGATGGGGCAGAGCGAAGCCCCAACTGAGGGACTCTGATGACAGAGCAACATGGCCAGAGGGCAGGGAGGCTGAAGGGGAGAACCAGCAAACCTGGGGGCACAGGGAAAGGAACTCTCGGGCATCTTTCTGGGAGGTGCTGAGACGAACCTTTGCTTATCTGATCTCCCGCTCACGGGGCCGTTTTTTCACGGCTGGGCAGAGGTGGGCGTGAATGTGCAGGTTTTGGCTGGTGAAGACACAAACAGTTCCTAAGAGCATAAAAGACACCCCCCAGGTTCTGGCCTGCTGCTACACTGGGCTCTGCTCCATCCACTCCTGACACCCTGCCTCGCACTGCCCATGAAGACCCCGCTGCTCGAATTCCACTGAACCAGCTTTATCTGTGTGTTTTGTTGTTGTTATTTTGCTAAAATAACAACAAAAATAAAAAAGTAAAATCTTTGGGACATGTTCATTTCATATTTGCAAGAGGGGCATAATTCACATTTTTGGAAACGATCCTTAAAGAACTTTAGTAGACGACCTATTATTTGAGATGAAGTGGGGTTAGAATTCGGAAGGCAAGGCATCTATGCAATCACTCAAACTCAAAATCTCAGGTTGTTTTGATACTTTCTTCTTCCTGACCCTACACATCCATGAAGCACAAAATTCTATTATATTTATTACGTATTATTACATTATCAATTCTGTTGCATATTCTTACAGAAGAGAATTTACATCCAGGTTCTAGAGTTAGCAAACTTGGTGTCCCAATTCTACCCCTTACTAGCCAGGTGAATTCTGGGAAAGTAACTTCTTTAAGTCTCACTACATTCACTTATAAAAATTGTTGGGAAAAAAAAACATTATTCCTAATTCACAGGACTGTGATGGAAAATTGAGCCTGAAAAAGTGAAGAGTGCCCACCACCAGCCCTAACGGCAGCAGGTGCTGGTGCTCATGACCTGCTCGCTGTCCCTCCCCACGACCACCATGTGTGCACTCAGGCTGCATCTGGGCTGCACAGTGCCTTCTCTCCTCTTCCCACCCTCTTGGGCTGAGTCCAGCTCACAGTGGCTAGATGCACTTTTTAAAATGCATGACTGACCGTGGCAGTCCCCTGCTTAAAATTCTTCAAAAGCTTCTCATGATTCCAAAGTTACAGATTAAAATGTAGCTGACTCAGAGACACCTGCACCTGGAATGTGGGCCTCTAGCCTCTTCTGTGATGCTGGGGCTGGACCCCAAGGCCTCAAGCATGCCAGATAAGCACTCTACCTCCGAGCCACAGTCACAGCCCCCAGTGCCCATTTTAAAATGCTATATTTTAGGTTCAGATTCTCCTGCAACTACCCAACCCTGCCACACAGCAAAGGAGAAGTCCAGAAGATGCCGGATGCATGTGCTCCAGCAGGACTCGCAAATGCTACCCCACCAGGAGGCACTTCTCCCACAGGAGGGGATAGGCTACCACAGGGGACATGGGACACGCAGGGATGAGACTATGCTGGGGTGAGGGTGCCAACCGTGATCAACTAGAGGCAGGAGAACAGGCCCAACAATCTGAACTCAGAGTGTGGCCTCCCCTACCGAACCTGGGCCTCGTGGGTACCCTTGACCTTCTGAAGCAGGGAAAGGGCGAGTCTGTCCCAGTTCTGTGCTCAGGAATTCCACCTTGTTGCTTAGTCTATGCCTGGCTGCCGTGAGGCTCTCCCTCTGGATATCTGCTCCCAGCCAGAACCGCGGCGCGGGTGCTGAGGAAGGCTCTGCAGGTGGGTCAGCTATGCACTCAGCCAACAGCCTCCAGGGGATCAATCACTTTCACATGAAGGCATGTAACCCTCCAGAATCCCGAGGAGCCCGCCTGCTCCCCGTGCACATGCACGCTCTCGTACACATGTGTGCAGCGGTTCCTGCAGGACTTAGTCCTTCTGAAGCTGATGAAGTTAGAACACAATGCTTTAGAGAAATACCAAACCTGGGAATCTTCACAACCTCTCCTCTTTGCTTCTTACACATCCTAAAAGCACAACCTAAGTTCAAAATAAACCCAGTAGAGAGGGAGTGATTTCAAGTGATCACAACACAAAACATCTTGTGACCCTACCTCTTCCTTCTACAAGTTCCGAGAAAAACATTCAGTATAATCACAAAGCACAAAGTTTCACAATTAAGTGGCACAGATTATGCTATGTCGCTTTTTAAATTGCTAATCTTCCTTATTTCAGAGCCAGGCACCAAGAGATCCTAGCAGGGATAAAACAATATTAGTTTTCTAACTGTAAGTCATCATGGCTATAAATAGTCATAAGATTAAACATCATCATCAGTGATTCTCAAAGATAAAATCACAAGTGAACCCGACAATTCGCCTTGAGTAACAGGTGTCTGAAAGAACCACAGGCACACATATTGAGGGCTGATTTGTAGGAGCTTCTGCGAAGTTCTCTGATCTGGTTCCACATAGAGAACCTGCAAAGGGGCTCATGGTGGTAAGGGAACACCCTGGATGGAAAGCCACACCTCCCAGCTCTGTCTTCCTGGACAGGGTGCCGAAAAGAACTGCCTACTAGATGATAAGTATAACTCCCTTGAATGTAAAGTATGAACAACTGAATATAAGGCATAAATAACTGCTGTTCTTCTACACTAAGAACGCCTGCCCTGCTCTGGGTATTGCACTTGGTACTGCACCCAGGAGGAAGGGTTTCCACACTAGTACCAGGACTGCAAGGTGCAACGCCCCCTTGTGGGCACAGGAGGTAACTGCAATGCCAAATCCCAGAGGCTGATCTCATTCCTGCCTGATGGACAGATAGTAAGTAGCACAGCAGGGGATTCTTTGGTTATGTTTTAACTAAAGACTTTCACTAAGTGCCACAAAGTAAATAAATATGTAACTAGAAGAGAAACATCCAATAATACAAGCCAGGAATAAAAACAAAAAAAAAAATAGATATATTTAGTCTGTAGAAATAACAAGCTCCAGGTATCAGCCAAGGGGCATTGAGAGGAAAAGCAGGAGTGCAAGTCTGACTTAGAGATCCTAAGGAATTTCACTTACTCTCCCTGCCCATGAAGAGCAGAGAACCACTGGGATGGTTTAACTTTTCTTCCAAGATTTTTGCCTTTCCGAAATCCAATTCTTGCTACTTGCTCCCCCAGAGTTCCCAACAGAAACCATGAATGTCAATGACCACAGCCCGGTTCCCACATGGGCAGGAAAGGGGTGCAGGCAGAAAAGGGGTGCAGAAGGCAGCTGGAAAAGAAAGCTACCGTCTAGTGCCTCTCAATCTTCCCATCTGCTATGCAGGAAAGCAGAAACCTCACTGTAGACACAAGAGTCTATAACTTACTGCCAATACCCATATATGAGACTGTCCTGTCAGTGGGCTCCAGGCACACTCCAGCTGAGGCAAACATCAGAAGAGAGCCTGAAAACACAACTGGTTTTCCTCACCAGAGAGGGAAGTGTGTAAGGCCCCCAGCCTAGTCTCACCTCGTCAAACCGAATCATCAGTAACAGATAACCTTCATCACCACCACACATTAGCAATTTCTAATCAACCAATAGCACCTTCAAAAACCTTAAAAAGTCACTCTATCCTGCAAGCCTTCCAGTGTCTGTAAATAGTTTATAAGACAATTTATACACACGTTGTGTAAAATACAACTGTCATCACAGTTATTTAAGTGAAATTTCCATGTCATTAACAAACACCTTAGGAAGACACAGCATCCACAAAGAGCATCTTAACACAAACACATATGTACCTGGATAGATAATATAATTCTATATCAAAGTTTTAGCAATCCTTGTATGTTATTATCACAATGTTTAAAAAAATGCTTTTGAAGGCTTCCCTAGATTTACTGGTTTATTTTTATGCGCTTGGATGAAGGTTGGAGTATAACTGAAGAACTCGATTTGCTATGTTGACTGTGCTGATGACGGCAAACGTGTCCCTGTGAACTCGGGCGCCAGATGTGATCACAGATCCTCGAGATATCCTTAACCTTTAGAATGAAATGTCAACGTCCTACTGTTCCGTACTTTACAGTGCCACCCGGTGCCATCAGTGCCACCAGCAGGACACAGGCTCTGCTTTGATTTCAAAAGGACTAGATCGACCCACCACGACACCGGGAGGCAGGCTGAGGACTGAAAGAACGGAACGGCCACACACTCTATGCTGCTTTGCACCTGAAGGTCATCGGGTCACTGAATGAGAACAGGATGAGCAACCAACTGTGCATATTTACGTATTCACTGTTTTAAAAACCTTCCTGCCCAAGCTTTCACAGTTCTGAGGAGACAAAGCCAGTTAAGGGTTTGAGGCACAGAGATCCTCCAGAAACGTGAGAACACATCCTACCTGAGGGGAGACTGATGAGATGTCCATCTTTGAGCTTCAAGCGGCTCCTCCTGAATTTGCCCTTCCTCCTCTTCACCTGCGGCTTCTCCTGGTTCAGCTGGAAGATCAAGAGGTTCAGCTCTCGCTCCAGCACGTCGATCTCACGCGCTGCCAGCTGCTGCTCCCGGCGCCGGAGCAGAGCTTCCTGAGACTTCTGCTGCAGAGTAGCCCGCACCAGCTCCTCCTCCCGGGACCGCAGCTCCTGCAAGGGTCACACCCAGGGAGTCACTCCCCGCAGGGAGGAGGCCCTTCAGGACTCTAACACCTCCTGCAAACCTCAGCCTCTGGATTCCCATGCGCACTGGGCTAAGCTCCCTGTCCTCAGGAGCTCGTGGGAGTCAGGACAGCCAGCATGCGGAGCCGGCCAGCCCACCACGACCTGGAGGAAATCCAGGCCTCTGCGCTCCCTGTGCCCTCTTAGCTCTGTGACCCAGAGAGGGCATCTCTGTGCCCTCTCAGCTGTGATCCAGAGGGAGCATCACGAGCTCTCACACCTGGGTTGCACGTTTGCCTGCAGCCTGCAGCCACCCGGCACATCGAGGTATGTTAGCACAGCAACGAGCACAGGCCTGAGTGGCCCATTGCAAAAGGAAGCCCAGCGGTGAAGCCATCAGTGGAAGGATGATTACTCTAATTCCAAAGCCTGCAGTCCAGATTTCTTTAGAGAGGCCCTTCCTGTGGGCATTTAACAGCTGCTTGAGAATAAAACATGAGATGGAGAGAAGAAAGGAAGCAAGCTGGTGTGGGAGGAGGCAGAAAGAGCCTGCCGGAAGGGACAGTGCTAGAAGGGACAGTGGAACACACCAAACCGCGACCCTCTGCACAGGCACCCCCCCATGGAGCTTTCCTGGCCCCAGACAGCTCCTGTGAATTACTCAACAGAAGTTCCTCGGCAATGCCTACCTACTGACTAATATCAACTTCCTCTTGGTTTTGGTTTTAGAATTTACTGAATTTCTGAGAAATCGGACATCTATGAGTTAAAAAATATTTCATGCCTCTTGGAAAAAAATTATTCAACACGGAATCTGAGAATGCTATTACGTTTAAACCATATCCCCATTCCTGTTTCTGTTGTGTTCTCTTCTTTACCAGGGACATAACTATTCCTTTGAGGGGTGAACTCCTTTCTATGGTAGACATACTGCTATTAAATCCAGCACTTACACGGAAAACAGGGTACCTGCAAGCTCTTCCCGTACTCTGCTCAGACGAACTCAATCTTAGCGCAGCCTCAGTCCACCCTTGGTTGGATCTGCAGACGGCTGCTCAGGCAGAGCTCCAGGATAGGCTTTGGGAGTCCTGAGGGTGGGGAACATGTCCCACTGCATGTGGCCCACCTCCAGGGTGCTGGTCCCCAGGGCCAGCCAGGGACTAGGAGGCCAGTTCAACTCTGCCAGCCCCTTGGACTTTACAAATGGACCCAGGTCTGTCAGAACAATGATCACAAAGCAAAATAAACACAGAACACCACCTCCGCCACCCCCCCGCCCCTACCACACACACACACACAAACTAATAGGACAAGATCCAGAAGAGCCTGGAAGAGCCGGGGTGCAGCTCAGAGATGGAGCCCTTACCTAGCAGGATGAGGCCCTGGGTTCCAGCCTCAGCACACAAAAAATTAAGAGACCAGGAGCTCCAAGAACAAATGTGTTCATTCAGATCAAACCAATTCTGAATTTATGGCAATTTCACCAAAGAGAACTGAAAACTCTGAAGCATCCTTTAGTTTAAATTTTTTAAAATAAAGTGCACAAACAAAACTGCAGAGGAAATGGTTTACCCCAGATAGCCAGCCTTCTGGTCGGCCTGTGGATAAGCACCAGCTGGGTCCTGCTTATACAGCTCATTACAGTGTGTCAGGTGCAGACTGCTATTTATTACTTGAAAAGAAAGAAAAATGTTATGTATTTTTAAAAGTTCTGTAATTCATTTTTTCACTGGTAACTTTCTCCAACTAGTTTGTCCAAATTGGAGCTTTTACCACAGTGTATTTGGGGACAGAGGATAATTTCTATTCAGCTTACAGCTTCTAACTCCCAACATGACCTTTTAAAAAAGATATTAGTTTTCAGCAGTGTTGACGCCAATCCAGCTCACTATTGTCAAATGAGAGGCATAAGGACGAGATATGGGCAGCACATTCACTCGGGCTTTTGTGTCACTACTACATGAATTAAATAAGAAACCACTTTTAATTCCAGGTTCAATCTAAAATATGCATCCCCTTGTAATACCTCACCCGAAAAAAGAAAAAAAAAAAAAAAAACACTTGCCTAAAACATGGTAAATATTTATATATGATCAAAGAGAAAGCAGTCAAAGAGTCCTGAGGGTGGGGAACATGTCCCACTGCATGTGGCCCACCTCCACTTCTGTGAATTTTAAAATTCTAAAGTAAAAGAAAAAAAGAGGTCTGGGCATTAAACCCTCTGGCTATTTTGTAATGAAGCACACCAAGCAAGTCCTCCTGCTGGAAGGAGTGCCAGAAGGGGCAGTTGTTGGCTGCAGGCCATCCTTGAAATGGCAGATCCGGGTTCCCAGACGGGCCGCTCAATCATTAACGACAACCTCCTGTCCCACAGAACCCAAGCAGGCACTTGGAGAGAGGCTGGGGGACTCGGGACCCACATTTGAGAAGCTGTATGTAGCTGAGCAATGAGACCGTGGCGGCCCAGTGCCTGGCCATCCATTCCAGCCCACGCCTCCCAGCCCAGGAGCCCACGCCCCCTTGTGAGCAGAGGAGACCCAGCTTGGACCCTGTGCTCCTCACTGTGTCAGAAAGATGCCATCAGGAAGCTTTAAGCAAAACATAAATTCATAAGGTGGGATGATTCTCTTATGATGAATCAAAGGCTCACAAGATACCATCAATGCTGGATTCCAAAGAGCAATGGGTAAGAATCAAAGCGAAGGAAAAAATCAGCACCAAAACAGCTAATGCTGGGATTACTACAAGGGTATAACCTGATAGAGGTCACCAAAATGCAATCAGAAGAATAAGAAAGACTCCACTCTCAACTTTAAGAGGCAGAAAGCGCTCTGGAAGCAAGCTCTTATTCTTAACCCACCGACAGGAGAAAAGCCCAACACACCTGCATCCTGCTTCATCAATGACTAAAGGAAAAAGGTCAGAATAGCTAATGAGATCACTTCACAATTTTAATTCTGTGATTTTTAGTATTTTTAGTATTTTTGCCTCAAAATCCTCTACCCCTGCATAAAGTCATTTTTATTTTAGTGATGAACCATCAAATTTTAGTATTCCTGAAAATAATTTAGAGAAACGTAAAAGGGAAAAATATCATTTTTAAGTCAACTAAAAGCACTGAAGTTCACCCTAAATGTAATGGTGACCTCCCCGCTGAGAGTAGCCCTGCCAAGAGCTGCAAGGCGAAGGGCCAGCCAACCTGTAGCCTCCACATCCCTCCCCAGCAGGTGCCCACCTTCTGCCAGGGCACCACCCAGGTCAGCTAAGGCCAGCCTGTCCTCTCCCGAGGTGAACAAGTACCCAGCTCTTCCTTAGTGGACTGGGGTACTGTAAGGAAAGTTTGACCGACCTCCCCCAATCCTAGGGACAATGGCCTTGCTATGACACTCCAGTGCCCAGAAGCAGAGAGTGATGCTGAGTTCAAGCCCATTTGGCCAGGCCATCTGGCTCAGAGCCCTGGTCCTCACCACTAAAGATGGCCACCAGTGCTGGCATGAGACCCCTGGGTGATCCCATGCCATCTCCTGAGCTCCCTAGAGGGGAGCTGACAGCCTTCATGGCAGGCTAACATCCCAAGAGCCCAAAGTCATCCATCTGAAGACCAGACCTCAGTCCTCCTGAACGTACGTCCCCCTTGTCCACCTGACAGTCTGATGAGGTATGGGATTCCTACAAGGGTATAACCTGATAGAGGTCACAGAAACTTACCATGTTGTACTTCAATGTGACATGTTAGGAATCTTGGGCACAAACATTCAGAGGGCTCAACAGTACTGCAGGTCACGCACTCCAGGCAGGAAGAAACCCTGATCATCAAAATGCTCAGGCACTACAAAATGTCTTTAAGAAATAAATATTACCACTGCACCAGAGAGGCGTGCCTGAATTTGGAGTCCCTACGTGGCCCTCAATAGCATCTGTCTTCATCCAGGAAACCACACGACTCATCTCCCAGTCCACCTTCCCACTGTGCTCCTGACCCAGGGTCCCCTCTCGTGTCACAGAGCTGCAGCCTCAGTGTGCTTAGCATATGGGATTATCCACCCCACACCCCGTGAAAGCCTAAGCCAAGCACAGCTCTACGGCAACATCTTAGGAGCCCAAACTTATGCACGGTCCCATTTCCCCAGCAAAGCAATGGTCTCGGAAATCAGAGAGGTGAAACAGGAAGAACCAGCATCAAAGAGGCTTTGGAAGCCCTAACCATGAAACCATGCAGACCTTGTGAGTCTGAGGTGCATGAGCCAACTGTAAGAAGACATTTTTGTGACCTCCAAGTACCAAGCAAGTATATGAGATGGAAGGGTTACTGTGGATGTTTTGGCAAGAAAGCTAAAGATGCACCAAAATGCTTATGGGTAAAATAACATGATTTGGTTTAAATATTCCAGTTTAAAAAACACAATGGGAATCAGGTGTGGTGATGCAGGCCTGTAATTTCAGCTACTCAGGAAGCTGAGTCAGGAGGATCACAAGTTCAAGACCAGCCTGGGCAACTTAGTGAGACCCTGTCTCAAAAAACAAAAAGTCCTGGAGATGTAGTTTAGTGGTATAGCACCCTGGGTTCAGTCTCCAGTAATGCCAAATAACAGTAGTAGGAGTAGTAGTAATAATAATAATAGTGGGGAGAGATTTACCAAATGATGAAATGATGGCAATTACTAAACTGGTTAATGCACACAAAAGGTTTATTATGCTATTCCTTTTTTTTTTTTTTAACATTTAAAAATTTTCCAAACAAAAGGACTTTTCCCCCAATTATCTATTTTAAGGACAGTTTTGCTTTTATTTTTAACCAAAAGAAAGCAAGAATCCATAAATCCTGAAAATACTGTAGAAAAACGCTACTAGTGACTTTGGCTTTTATTTTCCATAATTTTTATGAGTGTAAGCATGTTACAATTAAAAAGTCTACCTCACCTTTTCCTTGGTTCTCAGCTCATCAAACATGTGCTGAATTTCCAGTTTCCAGTCATCCTGCATGGAATGAAAAGAATCCTGGGGCATTTCGGTCAGCACGGCCTCTTCTAGAGCGGTCAGCTGCTGGAGAATCAAGGCGAAGGACGGGCGGATGTGAGGGTCTTGCTCCCAGCACTCTAAGATAAACAGGAACCATGTGATTCTCCCTGGGCATACTTCAGGGGACTTCCACAGTGAGGTTTTAAGATGTATTTTACACCAACCCGGTTTTCAGCTTGACATCTGTCACTGAACCAGAAACCCATGTCTTCAACGTCTGCCCTGAAGGTTTAAGGACCCACTGACAAGAATGTTCACACTGTATCAACCCAGGTCCCTGCCAGGAAGGCTGCTGTGGCCAGCACCACAATACAGTCAGCACCTGGACCCGTGTGTCCCATGCCTTGCCGTGAATGGTGTTGTAGAGGCCTCAGCTGCCAGGGTCACAGACTTCCTGGTGCAGAAATGCATGTCCATAAAACCCACCCCAGGAACACAGTCTCCAGAGTGTCGTCCTCACAACAGCAGTTCTAGGAAACAGCCTGACCATGGGGCTAGCACGGCTCACCAAGAATAAACGAGTTTCAAGAGATAAGGATCAGATAGACAAGGTCAGGTACAACCAGGCCAGGTAAGCCTGTAAAACACTTCTGATCGTTAGGTATGACAAATGGCAGATGTGGCCCAGCTCAGGGCCGCTTGAGTTCTGTGCTGTACAGGGAAACTTTCATTCCACTCGGCTGAGCTCTGTGCAGAAAGGAGGCTCTGTTAAAAAACACATGGTGTTCAGCTACACGGGTCACCAGCGGGTCACATGAGGGTTCCTATCCAAGACGAGGCTTCTCCCCTAAGCAACTGGGAACTGGAATCACCAGACACTGCTTTTATGGTTATCCATGCGGATGTCCTCACGAGCACCTCTCCTTGTCCCCGACACATGAAAGCAATGGTTGCACAAATAAATACCTTTCATGAGCTTGGCAAACGGCTCGGGACAGGTGGACGGGATGGGCAGAGTGAGCTTGTTGACAGCCACACCATAGGCCACAGCAAGACCGTCGATGCCACGGTAGGGCACCTCTCCCGTGAGCAGCTCCCATAGCAGCACGCCATAGCTGGAAAGAAAAGTCAGCAGGGTGTCAAAGGGCCCAGGCGCCCCTTCCTCAAGACAGCTTTGACACACATGTGGCCTTCCTGAAGTCCCCACCAGGGTGGCTCACCCAGCTGGCCTAGTGGCCACTGTCCAGGGGGAGGACAGCTCAAACACCTGCACACCACACAGATCCCCTCCACTAGGGCTGCCTGCACTCTAGGCTGGGAACCGACACGCACAGGAAAGAAGGGAGAACACGGCACATGCCAGGAAAAGGCCCTGGGGTGTGCTGGTGCTCCTCCACCCTGGGCAGGGCTGTTCTGGCACCGAGGCCTGTGGCGCGCCCAGGCAGGATGCAGGCTGCGGTGAGCTGCTCACTAGCTCTGTCTGCACTCACAGCCCAGAGAGACCATCTTCAGTCAGCTCAGCCCTAAATAACAGCAAACCCTGCTCCACCCCTCAGAGCTGTTCTGTGTAGAAGAGAAAAGAGAAAGGAATGCATCACGTACATGACGCAGCACCACAGATGGTGACATGCCAGACCTCTTAGCTTTCACCCTGAAACCAATTCTTTTCCAAGATTATCTGGTTAGTTTCTTGTCAATTATTTCCATCTTGATTCATTAGTAATGACATGATTTCAAGAATAAGTAAACTTAACTCATATATTGGTTAAGAAAAATCACCTCAGAGCAGGGGATCAAAAAATTCTCAGAACTCAAAGTCTTCAACATAAAAAAATTTTTTAAAAAAAATCTCATTAGCAGGGGCTGGGGTTGTGGCTCAGTGGTGGAGCACTTGCCTGGCTGGCATGTGTGAGGCACTGGGCTCGATCCTCAGCACCACAGAAAAATAGAGAGATAAATAAAATAAAGGTATTGTGTCCAACTACGACTAAAACATTTTTTAAGGAAATCTCATTAGCAAACGACACAACCAAAGCATAAAACAAGGTGATTTTTCTTCTCAGAAGTCTCAGGGAAAGAACGACCCTACAGGACAGGTCACCCCATGGAAGCCCAGCTGGGAGGACACAGCTGTACCCAGGGCTGACGCTGAAGCGGGAGGCCTGTGTTCCTGTCCTCTGCTGGGCAGGAAAGCCCATGACAGCCCTCCCCTGAGAGCCCCAGGGCATGTGACCTGATGTTGGTGCCTGGAGTCACAGGTCTGGTCCCAGGACTGAAGCCTGCTTCTCACTGGCCTCACCACCCGGAGCAGCACCCCGAGGAACTTAACTTCTCGCACCTGGCTCCCTAAACTGTACAACTGGGGCAGCAGGAGCTGCTGTGGACGTCAGGTGAGTGTCCAGCTTCACGCACAGGAAGTGACCCTGCAGTGGAACACTGGCAAGGGGGGAGGGGAAGAGGTCCGGTGGACACACATCCCGGTCCACCCACTGCACAGGCAGGACCTGCTTTCTGAAGGCTCTTCTTCTTGTGGAAACATTACAAAAGGAGACGTGGTGGCCAGGGGAGGCAGGATCGAGGAGAAACCTCCTCTGTGGGAGTCCAACCTTGCACGTGACTGAGTCACACTCCCGGCTGGGTGCTGAGGCGCTCAGTCACAGAAATGTGGCAGAGCTTTCCCCACCCTTCTTGGGTTTGAGGGTCGGTGTCTTGTGCATGGGTGTGTCTTGCTACAGCCCCATGGGTGAAGCTACGCTCACCTGTTCCTTTGTCATATAACCCCTTGCCCTGTTTAGGATAGAATCTTCCATGGAAGTGCCTTGTGTGTGTCCCCTTCTCTTACTGTGCCCTTGGGTGTGCCTACCCAGGTGTCAGTCAACCTTCTGACAGTGGACATCATGAAGACAGACTCAGCCCCCTGAAACTTGGCCACTTGCCTCATTTGAATATCTTCTCCTCAATAAAAGGTGTCAACGTGTGCTCTCGTTCTCTCTCTTCCTGCGGACCCTTAAGATCAGAGGAGCTGTCACAGCGACCCCAAAGAAAAAGTTATTGTGTCTCTTGTGTGGTTATTTTGTGCAGCCCAATTAGCCCAATTTAACTGGAGTGACCCCTGAGCCTTTTAGTCACGAAAAGAAACCCGGCACTCCCAGCCTCACTTGCGCCCCCCCTCTGCACCCAGCAGCCCCGAGGGTCTCGGGGCTCTGCTTTCTTATTTCCTGTGGTTCCTGCCTGCTGCCCACCTTGCTTTTGGCCTGTTTCAGTACCACTAGCCTGGCGAGGCTCTCCCACCATCTACCAAGCAGCGGGAGCATCAATGACAAGCAAGCCAACTGGGGAGAGCCCTGCTTCCTGGCTGTTGCAAGCCCCCAGTGTGACTCAGTCACGTGCAAGGTTGGACTCCCACAGAGGAGGTTTCTCCTCGATCCTGCCTACCCTGGCCACCACGTCTCCTAGGGGGAGCTTCCTTCTAAACAGACAGGGCCACTGGGAGCATGTGGAGCTCACGCCCCCTGCTGACCACAGGCCTGTGACAGAGGCACAGGATGATATGGCTCCCGCCTTCAGACCTATCATTTTGAATGTGAACCTGATGGATGACGTAGTTTAATAATTCTTAGAGTCCTGAAGTATGATTTCTTACAAGGATGGCCAATTTCACTCATCTCACATGCTAGAAAACCACTGTGATGACATCAATGAAAACCCTTATTTCCCTATAAAAGCCCATGCTCAGCCTCTACCAGGGGACAGTCTAACTCAGTAAGCAGGGACGTGTAAGCCTTTGAATTTTTTTAAACTGGTGCTAAGACACCACAGAATTCCCCACCCAACAATAAGCTTCTTACACGTTGTAAGTAAAATAACTAAATCGTATTGTAAATGTTGTAAATATAAAGCAACTTTATAAAACTTTTACTGACAGGTGTTTCTGCCACTGACTTCACGTGTGGGTCTGAGTAACTTCCAGTGCATCTTAAGATTAAAGGAAAAAACAATTTTTGCTGATCAGAAATTTGGAAGTCAGACACATCTGGGTTTAAACAGAGGCTTATCACTTCGTGGAAATGGACACTAGCAAGTGACATTGTCTCTCCTGCCATTAGTTTTCTTTTGTGTTAAAAAATAAATAAAAATTTGAGTTTTAACCACAATGAAACACACTTCACACCTGGGACACTCATGAGTCAGAAAATCAGATAACGACCCACGTTGGCAAGGAACCTGTGGTGAGCTCTGAAAGGAGCAGCACTTTTGGAAACCAGGAGTGGCTTCTCAACAATTAAACATAGAATTGCCACGTGGCCCAGCCACGGCACTCCTGGGTACATGCCGGAGAACCAAACCCGCGTCTTCAGGGAAACCTGCACGTGGGTGTTTGCAGCAGCATTATCCATAATAACCAGCAGTAGACGCAGAGCAAACACTCACCGCCAGTTGAATGGGCGAGCAAAATGGGGCCCATCTGCAGAAGGGACTATCACTTGGCCCTGAAGAGAATGAAGCTCGTGACGCAGTGGAAGAAGCCAACACAAAGGGACAAATACTGGAAGGTTCCATTCAGTCAAAATGTTCAGAATAGGCGAGTCCACAGACCTGGCATGCAGACTGGTGCCCGGGGCCAGGAGGGAAGGGGCCCTGGGACTGAAGGGTGAGGGGATATGGAGCTGCTTTATAGGGTAACAAAAACGCTCCACGTTGACCGGGCTGATACACCGAAACCCACTGTAGTGTGCCATTCAGGGGCGAATTGCACGATATGGAAATTGCCTGTCAGCAAGGCTGCTCAAAGACCACAGAGAAAAATCTGTGAGTTTAACATGTGCCACTCAGGGCTTGATGAGCGACAGCCAAGGCTAGCTAGCTCTGAGGACACTGGAGCTGTTGGGAGGCCTGGCTTCTCTCTGCCCTCCTGCTGTTGGTGATGTCACTCTAAGGAGGTACAGCTGAGTGACAGCAGCAGCACCTGGTGTCCCAGCTGGGTTCACTCTCCGTCCTCACCCCAAGGCCCTCAACTTTCGAGGAAACATTGAGGACATGGAGGGACCGTCTAAATTTCCTTTTCCTCCATCTCCTTCCAAGCTAGTTGTCTGTGAATCACAGAAGTCAAGTTTGCTTGAGGGGGGATTTCCTTTCATTCCCTGGCCCTGCCCTTCACTCAGACTGTGAGCTCCAATCAGCTCCGGACTTCACAGGAAGCTTCGCCCAGTACACGGGGTCTCGACTACAGAACCCTCAAGTCCCCGTCCTGTGGCTCTTGACTAGGAATCTAAACCCCCTGCAGGTGCACCTGGCTGCTCAGCTCGGGGCCACCCAGCCCCATGGGACTCAGCACAGCCACCGCTCACCTCCAGACATCACTGCCCTTGGAGAACAGGGAGGACCTGATGACCTCAGGGGCCATCCAGGCGTAGGTGCCAGCCGCACTCATCCTGGTGGTCCTGTGCCACTCGCGGGCCAGCCCGAAGTCCGTGATCTTCAGCGTCTTGTTGTAGACGTCGTCCTGCTCGATCTTCTCCAGCAGCAAGACTGAGGAGAGCCAAGGAGGACACGCTCATCGCCCCGCTCTCTGGTCATGGGTTTTCAACGGCACTTAAAACATGATCTCACTGGAGTTTGGGGCACAGGTGAGAATGAATTTGTATTTCATCATTTTTCCTAACTTAAAGCAGGCAGGTCTATTATAACCCTGACTGGGTCATTTGTGCCTCAAGTTACGCATTTTTAAGAAAATCTACAGGTGCAACATAGCTTAGTAGTTGCTATTTTTCTTTTTGGGAAAGGAAAGGGTTTCCATGGCAAGAAACATTTGCTGAGACTTCTGATCTGTAACAATTTGTCTGATATGGAAAAAAAAAAATACACTGTTTTCTTCCCAGAAATGCCTCGTGGCCCAAGGAGACATTCTCATGACTGGACGGTATATTACCGTAACTCACGACCATAAGATTTTAGTCTCCTGAATTTACAGAACGCTCGCCATCATCCTTTAGCTCCTGAACATTATTTATAAGATGTCATTAATTGCTTTACTGAAGCTTGAAATACAGCAAAAAGCAAAAGCTTCAGAGAGGCCCCAGGTGCCAGTGTCCTCAGCCCCGCCTCCTGCAGTGAACTTGCGGGCAGGGAACTCACACCAGGTCTGGGGCCTCTCCTGTGGGCCTCTCCTGCTCTGCAGCTCGCTGGGTGCATTCAGTCCCGCCAGGCGGCCAGCCCTTCACCTTCCTGGCGCCCTCCCATCCTCTGCCCCTGGCTGATTCTCCTATGCCCAGAACCTCAAGCAGGTGTCCCCGGGTTTCCAGGAGGCTCCCACGGAACCAGCGACCACGCCCTCCTCCTCTGTACACACACCACCGGCAGCAGGTCCCCCAGGCATCACGGCACTGTTTACCTCTTAAAATCCCAGGAACAAACTACCAGCACATGCAACAGGATGGACCTCAAAACCATTCTGTGAACTGACAGCCAGACATGAAGGCCCCTACTCTAACCCCACAGGAGGTTCTGGAGAGGCAAACCTGGGTCAGTGCTGCCGGAGGCTCCGGAGGAGGTCTGACTGCAAAGGGGCACCCAGGAAGCTCGTGGGGGTGAGGAAAATTCTGCACCTTGATGGTGACGGTCACAGGACTCTATTAATCTGCCAAAACTCATCAAACTGCACACACTCAGGGGGCCACTTCACTGTGTATAAACCAGATTCTAATAACCCGGCACTAAAAAAAAAAAAAGAAAAAAAAAAAGCCCCTTTGTGGTTCCATGTAACCCAGGCCAGTGTCCACACCCCTAACTGGGCAGCCACAGTCCTCTACATTTGCACACTGACCTAAGATGCACCCCATACCTCATTCTCTAGAGCCGGGCTGGCTTTTCAGCCAGACCAAAGGTCTCCTTGGTGAGACCCTCCAACCCCCCAAGGGGGAGAAACGACCCTCCCGTCCTGCATGCAATCCACACAGCACTCAGGAGGCATGGTGCACCGTGACACCTGTGTTCACCCGACTCTTGCTCTGGACAGCCAGTCTGGGGTGCAGGGCCCAGAACAGAGGGGGGCATCAGGGAGAAGAGGAGGTAAATGGCAGAAGACATTCGCCTTCAGCTCCTGAACCTGCTCTGCGGAGACTGATTCAGAGTAAGAGCTGAATGTCCACAGAAGAGGACACACGGGCCCTGACACTGCCCTGGCTCTTGCCCTCCTACCCCCTGGGGACATCAGATTAAGAAGAGTCACCAACAAATACTGAGTGTCCCCTGCATGCTCTCCTGCCACCAGCATGATCTCATTCACAAAAGCCCCAAGAGGCAGTCTTCATGACCAAAGGAGAGTCAGAGAAAGCGGAGTGACTGAGCAAATCCACTGAACAGAGAGAGCGGTACACGTGGGGAGGGAGGGTTTCACTCAGGTTCACCTTGAAAAGTAAAATAAGTTCTTCAATTAAAAGAGCAACCAGGTGCTCTTAGAAGGAAAACAGTCCTTAGAAAGACAATGAAAAAACAAGCATATGAGGTTTTGGAATGAACTATCCAAACAAAACTGGGGCAAGACAGAAGGCATGATATTCTTCATGTCTGATCATAAGAGCCATTTTCTCCAGTGTCAGTCTATGCTGAGAACACTCTCTGCCAGGTGAGGCCAAAGATCTCTCATTATATAACCCACTACACAATTGACAGGTAGACACTGTTGTCTCCACGTTATAGATAAGAAAGAGGCACAGAGAGGTTGAATACACGGTATACAGTCACACAGGTGGGGGGGGGGCAGAAAGGCCCAGTGTGACCCCAGAACTGGCTGCCCTCATCCTTCCAGCAGAGCCCAGCTGACAGCTGTCATCAGTTCCTTGGAAGAGCTTGCTCTCTCTGCAGGGGGTTTCTCCCAGGTGCCTCCTGTTTTGATTTCCTGTCTCTGGTTCCCCACCTATGGGTCTGTGGGCAGGCACCCACACCAGCAGCTTGGGTTGTGCTGGAGAGAGGACAAGTGACATGTGAGGCGCCTACAACAGAGCCCGAGACTCAGCCGCCCACCATAGGACCTCCCACGCAGACACAGCCTGGGTTCAAAGTGTTTGTGGCAAGTTTTCAAATTCACTCTCGTGGACTTCAGTGAACCCTGCCAGGCTTCTGCCAGGCCAGAAGCCACCGTGAGAAAGATGTGCATTTACCTGCCCTGTGCTGTCCAACAGCTACCATACCAGTCATAAAAACCAGTGCACCTGGAGGCCGCCAGGTCTGAATGGGAGGGATATGTGCAAGGGCCCTGAGCTGGCAGAAAGCAAGGAGAGCCCTCCTACGCCAAGGCCCAGGGTTCCAAGAAAGGCCCATTGTCTGGGATTCTGTTTCAGGGCCGTGGGGCAGAATTCCTGAAATTTCTTATCTCTTGGGCAGTGTGACTGAAACCACTAATAGCGTCTCACCAGGGGCACACAGTGGGCCCCCAGCCAGGTTTCAGGTACAGGTGGGGCCACCTTCCACTTCCTGTCACCAGCAGGAAGGGCCGAGGCGCACTGGCGGCCACCTCGGCTCAGAACTGCAAACCAGGCAGCCTGGTCAGCAGCGTCTGTCCGCAGACATGCACTCCTTGGTAACTTCCCACTGGTTCCCCTTCCTGGGCCTTCCGTGAACATGTCCCCCAACTACCTCCACAAAATCAACTGGCTGCCCCTCAATCACAGCAGGAGGCACGGGTTGTTCAGCCCCTTGGAAAATTCTGTCCAGAATTATAGTACAGGATATATGTTTTTTAAAAAAATCAATTACAGGGCTGGGGCTGGGGCTCCGTGGTAGAGCACTTGCCTAGCATGTGTGAGGGACTGGGTTCGATTCTCAGCACCATGTACAAATAAATACAATAAAGTTCCATCAAAAACAAACAAACAAAAAAAAGCAATCACAATGGGTCCTGTCGCCATTTCTTGCTTCTATCAAGGATGCTCTTCCCAACCCGGCCACACCCTCACTGCTCCAGACCCTGCTACAAACCTGCCTTTGCAGGTGTCCCCCTCCTGAAACCACCCCACACGGTTCAGAACCTCCTGCTCCCCCCCACCCTATCCATCCTACTTTACCACGTTAGCTTTTACGCTGAACACTTGCTTCTGCCAGCACAATACCTATTTACCATTTTATTCTGCTTCATGTCTGCCCTGCTGGAACGTAAGCTGCACTAAGGGAGGGGTCTGTTCTGCTTTGTTCGCCACTGACCACCAAGAGCTTAGGAGAGTTCCTGGCACAGAGTGGTTAATCCATCAATAACTGTTCTATGAGTGAGTGAGTTGGCTTATACATACAACACCCTTGTAAAGAAAACACAGACATGGTCAGCTAAAACAGAGCTTCACACTGCTCGTACACCAAAACTAAAGCCACCTCTCACAGGGCAGGTGTTCGTGGACACAATATCCAGTTTTAATGAGAAAACATTTATGATTCACTGATATAAAATCAGCCCCTGCTGCCAGCACCTTGCTTGGTTCACTAAGAGGACACATAATGAAGGAGACTGAGACAGGACTCTTATGCCATACCCTACACTCATAGGCTGATGCAGTATTTGTAGAAAATCTGAAAAAAACCCACAACTGTGTCAAGCCAAATCTTCAGAAATGAAAGTTGACATATCCTAGGTGCAATGGAGACACTTCCCTAAATACTTGTAATTTGCTCTTTTTAAAATTTTTTAAATATGCAGAAGTTACCAATGAGTTGTGCAAACAAAATGGCTACAGTAGTAATTTAGTCCTTTCTGCCACTCATCCTGAGTCACTCCACACAAAGCAGAGCTCAGGCCCTGTCCTCAGGGGTGGGCTGGCTGAATCAACCACATCAGCCAAACTAAAAAAAAGAAAAACCCTTTCCCTCAGCCAACATGAATAAACATGAGTAAATGGCACTACAATCTGGAGAAAGAACAATAATAATGATTTCTTAGGTGATAAAGAATTGAAGAAAACGTTTAGGTCTCAATGAGTTCATGCACAAATAAACTAGAACTAGGCATTGAGAGGGTTTCTAAACAAAATGTAAAAATGCATAGTCACCAGTGGACACATAGGTTTTATCTTGTGCTGTTAACTACTTCGACACACATCGGGAGTTGGCAGAATTCAACTTGCGGGCCAAATTTGGTACAAAACCTCCTTTGTAAATAAAGTTTTATTGGAAACTGCCACACTCAATTGCTTACACGTTGTCGTGATTCTTTTGGCTACAACAGCAGGGCTGAGGAGCGGCCAAAGACCACGTGGCCTGCAAAGTCAGAAATGCTTCCTCTCAGACCCTTCCTGGGGGTCTGCCCAGCCAGAGGAGCCCACTTGATCCTCCTCAACTCACAGGGTCCTAGGGGAAGGGTGGGCCAGAGGGGTAGAGTCGGAGCCCACGCCTAACACACCACAATTGCCTCATCTGTCCCCCAACTTAAGAGGACAAATGCTTGGAGATGTTCCTTTCCCTGGAACTTGCCAGAATAAGCCAGGCAGAGTCTCATCTGGCACTTCCTGTGACCAGTCAGAGGTGACCATCAGACAGCTGCCTTG